GGTTTGAACCTTTACCCTGTTCTGTTTCAACTTGGAGAGCAGATACTATTGCACAGATTTGAGCTGTCAACACAGCTTGTGGGAGAGACTCAAGTTCTAGAGTTGACCTTTTGAAATACAGGTTGCGCCATTCAGTCCAAAGATCACTCATCTGAGTCTGCGGCATTTCTCCAAGTCTAAATGGAGCTTAAAAAGGAAATGAAGTCTTAATTCAACCATTACAAAAAACTTGCACTTGGCATAATGTCCCCCCCGACGTTCCTTCTTTCAGAAATCAATTCGAAAATGTGATTAAAAAAATCACTAAGCTTACGTATCTGTTCTGTATGTATTAAGGTTATGAGGTGGACAGTATTCATGAGGCTGCCAGTCCAGTGGATGCAGTAAGAAAAGCACAAGGGATTTTCATTGGTAAGTTTGTGTGTCTCTTGCATGAATAATGATGCCCCCTGAACAATATATGAATTGCAAACAAGGGGCTATTTGGTCAGTCTTGCTCACATTATCTATAGTCTAGCAGATACGTGAAGGATCTCTGAGAACATTTTCAACTGCATGGTTAAATACGGTATTGTTCCATAGATCCGTGATATTGTTCTGTAGTTTACGTGCACTTAGTTTTGGTACACAGGCTTCTCTTTCAGCGACTAGTTTCAGTTGGACTAATGGTGGTAGGTACTTTTCCTTTTTTTTGAACACGTGAATCAAATCCCTGTGTATTCCACCCTTTTAAATAAAATTAATCTTTGAATCTTTTTGCATATGACGTTTTTGATGTCTGCTTTTTCTGATTGCTTTTCTTTGAACTCTTTTCGGAGTAGCAAGATTCTTTGTGTTAATGTGTGGTGGCTACAATTTAACACAATATTTATAAATTAGGCTTTCCTGGTATTTTGTTTAATTTTAACATTACTCCTCTAGATTTAAATTCTGTGTATTTTTTTGTAAATCCCATCATCAAGTTTTGACATTGCTCTCTAATAGCGATCCTAGTGATTCTCTATAAATTGTCACTGATTTCTTTTCCCATTTTCAATATTGTTTTGTGCAATATTGTACAATACATGAATCAAGCCTTCATCTACATACTGTATATTACAATGGCACAATCGGGCTTTCAGTTTAAAAAGTAATGAGAAGCAATAGGTTTCCATTAGTGTATGTAGGGCACTACGATATTTACATTTACATTTTTTATTTATATCTCCTTGGTTGGAGGATAGGATAGCTCCGTGTTTAAACATTTTTATTAATAAAACACATTTTATACGCATACAGAAGATCTACATTGTTTTCTGAATTAGTAATTGTACATTCACCTCTTGACCTGCAGGTGGCGGAAACACCTTTCGCCTTTTGAAAACGCTGTATGACCAAAATCTGGTTTTGGAAATAAGGAAGAGAGTCCTTGAGGTAACTTGGTAACTTGCAGCTGCTTTTTATACACTTGTCACTGAGAACAAACAGCAGGTTTGCAGTGTATAAACTACTGCTGAATTAAAATGCTCTAATAGGATAACCTCAATTAAGGCACAACGAATGGTACAATTTGCCTGGATAATTACAAAGTATCAAAAACTGAAGAAAACAGTGGTGACTACTGATTCATTTCTCTATATAATTTGTTACTTGAGTTAAGCGAAGGCTTTATCACCACATCAAGAAAATTGAGTATGTCTTATAATTATTATTAATAAAAATCCTTAGACTTTTCTGTACACTCCACTCAAAGTGCTTTACAGGTAATGGGGACTCCCCTCCACCACCACCAATGTGCAGCACCCACCTGGATGATGTGACGGCAGCCATAGTATACCAGTACGCTCCCCACACACCAGCTATCAGTGGGGAGGAGAACAGAGTGATGAAGCCAATTTCACACGACTAATTTTGAAACACCTGAATATTGTGTTGCACAGTGTTCCCCTGCCTTGTGCCTGATGCTTGCCGGGACAGGCCCGGGCTCCTCTGAGACCCTGAATTGGATGAACCAGTTAAAAAAATGGATAAACACTTTTTTCTCTGCTCATCATTATTGTAATAATAAAGTTGATGTAGCAGCAATTTACTGTGACGTCTTGTTCCAGAGAAAAGAGTAAGCAGGTCTGACGTCCATCTATTTTCTAACCATTTCCTCCAATTCAGGAAGTCTGACACACATTTCTTAAATGTGTGCATTTGGTGCCATTTCTCTTTGGGGCGCTGCTGTGGCTAAGGATCTGCGCCTGTGGCTGGAAGGTTGCTAGTTCATATCCCACAACAATCCTACTCCGTTTGGCCCCTGAGCAAGGCCCTTAACCCCAGCTGCTCCAGCGGTGCTGTTTAAATGGCTGACCCTGCGCTCTGACCCCAAGCTTCTCTCTCCCTGTCTGTGTGTCTCATGGAGAGCAAACTGGGGTGTACGAAAAGACAAATTCCTAATACCAGAAATTGGATATGGCCAATAAAGTCATCTTATTCTTATTCTCTTGTCAAACACCTTCTGACAGAGATGTTTTCATTTATTAGGATGGGGTTCCCTATATGGGATCAAGTGCTGGGACGAATGTAGCCACCATCAGCATCAACACCACCAATGACATGCCCATTGTCTACCCTCCCTCTCTAAAGAGTATTGGCTTGGTGCCCTTTAACATCAACCCTCACTATCTGGATCCTGATGGGAACAGCAAGCACATGGGGGTGAGTCTAGACCTGACTAATACAGCGTATGGCAACTCCACTGAAACTGGTGCTCAGTGTTGATCCTAAGTGTCACAGGAGAGATCTACAGTAAAGACATTTACAAGTATGTAAATCTGATGTTGTTCTATTATTGTTTTATTAGTTTGTTTCCTCATAGTCTCCCCCTGCCCTGTGAGTGAATGACAGTCTCTTTTGTCTTCAGGAGACCCGTGAGCAGCGCATTTTACAGTTTCATGAGGAACCTGACACCCCCTGTGTTCTGGTATGTGACAGGGGCTGACTGACAGTCAGTGCTCCTCCCACACCATTGCAACTTGTTGAAAATAAGAATAAGACATTATAACAATCATTGATAAGGTAGAATATGGAGGGGACACCAACTTAGGTCTTGCAGTACAGTCCGTGGTTCGCTTAATATCTTTTTTTCTCCATCATGGGACAGAAATGTGTGAAAAGGTTCATTAGCTTGACTAGATGAGGCAAAGGACACTTCGCCGCCTCCTCGCCGCCTCTGTTCCAGGATAAGCAAAATATAAACCTTGCTGTTTTCAGCTGTTCTTTCTATTCAGCATTGTTAGATAACTATAAAAATGTAGCATTGTTCCATACCACATCTACAGAAGTGTCTTTGGTTGTAACGGTAATATGTAGTTTAAAAACATGTCACTAGACTTTGGTGTTTGTGTTGTCACTAGGATTGTGACTAGGGCTGATTCAATTTTATAAATACCAATGAAATACTACACTGTGTGCAGGATTTGCGACCATTTTAAAAAATAACGGTTAAGTACGTTCAGCTACATTATGTTAAAGATGGAAAATTAGCACGCCCCTACTTAGATTTATGAGTGGCCAATCTCTGTGTTGAGTACTGATAGAGCAAACCTTTAACTGGTGGTTATTTGCTCATACACAGGGCTTAAGGGAAGGATCAATGTTGGTTGTGGAAGGCAGTAAAGCAACTCTGTTGGGCACTACAAATGCACGTCTGTTTGTAAGGTAAGCAACATCTCACAGGAACAGGTGGACATTTTGTAGTTTGTTCACTGTCTTTCCAGCTACTGTATTAGTTGTATAAACAACACTACATTACATACTCTTTTTTTCAGCTGTGATCCTGGCATGCTTATCTTAATACTGGTAGTTACTAAAGGTGGGACTGAAGTCCTGCAACAATGTAGATTTGAGGTCAAGGCTACCTAGCCTGAAATAAAGAAGATATGGGTGGTGCTGTGGTAAGCACAGACCTGGAGTACTGTCTGTGTGGAGCTTGTATGTTCTCCCTCGGTTTGCATGGATTTCCTCCACATGTTCCGGCTTCCTCCCCCAGTCAGGTAACTTAAATGGTAAGTTAAGTGGTTTCTGGAAAAACTGGCCCTTTGTTGTGAGTGCGTGCATTTGTGTCCATCTGCCCTGCGATGGACTGGCGTCCTGTCCAAGGTGTACCCTGCCCAGTGCCCATTGCTAGCCAGGATAGGCTCCAGCTCTCCCACAACCCTGAATTAGAAGAAGCAATTCGAAAATGGATGGGCGGTTTCATGTTTCACTTTGTTTAAGGAAGAAGGCGGCAATTTCTTTTCCGTAACAGCTCTTGAAAGCACAGCTCTTTTCACCCCGACTGCATTCTCATTCTGAGTTTAATTCGCTCGGCATCCACAGTGACCGTTTTCTCTCTTGTCAAGGGGAAAGCCAGCAACAGAGCATGAACCTGGAGCAGATTTCAGCTTTCTTCTGAACGACAGCAGCCCATAAAGAAGTGCAAGAAAATTGGCAAACGCATTTGCTACATTACTGCCTTGTCTCTTTCACACCTGAAGAAGGCTCCACGGCCGAAACGTTGTGTTTTCTCTCTTCTTTTTTTCAGCACGGAATAAACCGATTACTTGTACTTCTGTAATAATTTGTTTTTGATCTGTTTAGATAGTAACTTTTCTATATATGTCCCACAATGATACCTGGACATCTCTAATACAAGTGAAATTTTGGTTTTGCTATTTATTCAGTTGAATTTGTTTCGGATCTGCGTCTGTACACCCCTACTCACAGTTCATTTGCTCTAGTCACTGTCTTCCAAGGCTAATGGGCTGAACGGCATGTTCTACCGTCCCTCACGAAATAGACTTACAAAGATAAAAATATGTCAATGAAGGAAGGTTCGAATCTACACAAAAAAGACAGACATATGTATATAAAACACAAAAATAAGAAACCTAAAATAGTTTTAAGAATTATATACTGTAGTGTCCATTTTAATGATAAAGTAAACATAAATATAAATGACTGTTAAAATCTGTATAAATGAAACTTATATCGAACCAGATTGGGTTGACTATGTCGGTGACTTTTTTTAATCCGGTCCTCTTAGTTATCGCTGTTCTAGACTAAAAAGGTTTTATTCTCTTAGTTTACCAGTAAAGGACGTTCCTTTTCAGTCTGGATGTGCCTTCTCTTTTCTTGGCTGGTTCTCGAGCAGCAATAGCTTTTGTTGTAATAAAGTGATCAGAACTGTTCTAGTGTCTTAATTCATTTTAAATTGTTGTGCAATTTTAACATAACATCAGTTGATTTCGCTTTTATATATAACCACCACACAGTCCAGGAACCTCTTATATGCAGTACAGAATTCTGAAGCTGCTATAAAAAAAATACTGAGGCCATCATATAAAACAAAGTGCTTTCTCCTTTATACCAGATTCTTTGCAGCTGCTGTTCCAGTAGATTCACATCTTTTAGCAACCAAAAGGCAAAGAGTTCTAGTGCTTCTCAGCATCGACTTTCAAGACTTGGAATCAGCCTTTTATTGCTGAAGTTCCTCTCCCTTATTTAAGACAATTGACTCAGAAAGCCCCACTGCCCAACAGCAAAACAAATCCCTTACACGTTACCAACAGATTAACAAAATTTATTTACCCATTTTTGTGTGTGTGTCTGATTGTTTTACATTATTTCTATTTTAAAAATCCTAGTCAGGAAGCATCTATGTATAGTACTGGAGATGGAATATACTGTAGAAAAAGGCTGTCCTTTTTACTGGATAACAGCCATATCACTCAGCAACTCACCACTGGCAGCCCACTGAAGCTCAGCAGGTGCGAACCTGGTCAGTACCTGGATGGGAGACTCCTGGGAAAATCTTAGGTTGCTGCTGGAAGAGGTGTTAGTGGGGCCAGCTGTGGGTGCTAATGTCCCAGTGTAGTGACCGGGACACTATACTCTAAAAAGGTGCCTTCCTTTGAGGAAATTTAAAACCGAGGTCCTGACTTGCTGCGGTCAATAAAAATCTCAGGGCCTTACCAATCATGGCCTCCTAATAATCCCAATCTCTGAACTGGCTTCATCACTCTGCTCTCCTCCCCACTAAGAGCTGATGTGTGTTGAGCGTACTGGTGCACTGTGGCTGCCATCGCATCATCCAGGTGGGGCTGCACATTGGTGGTGGTGGAGGGGAATCCCCATTACCTGTAAAGCGCTATGTAAGTGTAAGAAATTATTATTATTTATTGTAGAGTTCAGAATGGTGTGAATAGAGTGTTATAAATAGCCATTAGTAGTTATTCTTATGATTGGTTTCACTTAAAAAGTCAGATTGAATCATTGAAGCTTCTGGCTTAATCCCAGGCCTAACCAATCAACCATTGAATGAACAGATGTAAATCATAATGCATTTATCTGGAATTACAAATCCCACAGCCCTATATTGGATAAATCAGTTTAAAAAACAGATGGACGAATGGATGTTATGTCTATGTTGCTTCTGGATTTTTTGCATGCTGCCACACTCTAAAATTGTTAAAACTGATGCAGATACAGGTCCCAATCAGTCAAATGGGCCTTCATTATATATTAGGATTGCAGAATCCATCCTGGAAGATAAAAATCCTGATTTTAACACAATACCACGATTGTGATAGATTAAAGAAAGAACCTTCTAGCATAGAAATATATACATAAATGTGGTTGTACGCTGCAGTCCATTATAGTAGGAGGCAGGAGGAATGACTGGTAATGCAACTTGCTTTGTTTTTTCTTAAGGCCCAAAGAAATATAATACAGGCAAATATAAGCCTAATATACAAGTAAGCAAATATTAGACTTACATTGCGTTCTTCAAGCCATATTGTTTAAGATCTAATGTTTTTACAGATTACAAACCACACTATCCCATGGAGTCAGAATATAAGCTACAAGTTAGCTAATGGTGATACCCTGAATACAAAAAATACTCTTTTATGTAATTACAATTTTACTGGTGAATATACATTTATGGCTTTCATTTGCTTCTAAACGGACTCGTTTTCTCACACTTTTCGTGAAGAATACAATCTGCTGGACCACAGCTAAGACGGAGCATTTCAAGGGTGCGTAAGGAAGGCAGGTCCCTTTTCAGCCCATCAAGGCCCATGGGGAACAGGGGGCAAGGACCACCATTTTTCTCGACCATCCGACACTGGAGGTGGGGGTGGTGTGGTCAGCATCACACTCAGGCCGGCCAATCACCCCCAGAAGGATTAACCCCCGGTACCCATTTGGAAAGCAGGCTGAGTGGACCTGGGAGCTGTCTGGAAGGAATTAGAGCAAGCTACTGTAAATTGCTTGCCCCTACCTGGGAATAAACCCAGGACCTTCTAGTCAGGAGCTAGACACCCTTGCCGTCTGAGCTACCAGGGCTCCAGGCTGCGTAAGGGTGGGTCACACTGTGAGTTCTGATGGGCTCGATAGCTCCATGACAGCTCCTGGGTAAAAGGCGAACTGAGTCCAATGCTGCTTTTGTTCTGCGAGTGTCTGTAGGCATTTTGAAATATTAACACTTTAAAGCCCTGTTTTGCAGGTCCTCCACAACAAAGTAG